AAAGAAAGAAAGAAAGATGAGAGAGAAAGAGAGAGAGAAAGGAAAGAAAGACATCTGGGCAAACCATGGATGGACAGAAGACATGCCTAGTTTAAGGAAAAGAAGGATGCAGTGACATGATAGCAGTCTTCCATATCTCAGGGCTTGCCACAAAAAAGAGATGTGAAAAAGACATTGAGACTCTAGAAAAAGTGCAGAGAAGAGCAACCAGGATGATGAGGGGACTGGAGGCTCAAACATACGATGAACGTTGCAGGAACTGGGCCTGGTTAGTCTAGGGAAGAGAAGGACCAGGGGAAACAGGAGAGCAGTCTTCCAATATCTGAGGGGCTGCCCCAGAGAGGAGGAGGGGGTCAAGCTATTCTCCAAAGCACCTGAAAGCCAGACATGAAATAATGGATGGAAACTGAACAAGGAGAGATTCAACCTGGAAATAAGGAGAAATTTTCTGACAGTGAGAACAATCAACCAATGGAACAAAAGTTGCCTTCAGAAGTAGTGGAAGCTGCATCACTTGAGATTTTCAAGAAGAGATTGGACAGTCATTTGTCAGAAATGGTGTACAGTCTCCTGTTTGGGCGGGGGGTTGGACTAGATGACCTACAAGGTCCCTTCCAACTCTGTTAATCTCTTACCTGTTAAATATCCTGTCCTAAGCAGTTTGGGCATTACATAGAACACAGAATCATAGGGCTGGAGAGGACTTAGAGGTCTTCTAATCCAAAGGCTACAGGCTGGTAGTAAGGCACCTACAGGTGCTGGGCCATTTGAAACATCCCCAGGGGGTTACCATGGACTTCCAAAAATAATTTTAAAAATGACCTTAGAAGCCAAGATCTAAAAGTCTGCTGCCCCGTTTAGAACGGCCAGAAATTTTTAAACATTTAAAAGGCAACAAACACCCACCCCCCCACCCCCTCCCGCAAAGGAACATCCCAAGGGACGGAAGTCTCGACCATCTACAGTTGGGACTCACCATCTGCATCTGGGTAACTGTCGATGACACTCATGGATACAGACTTGGGCAGATGACTGCAGGGAGAACTTGGAGACAAGCCGTAGACCTGCTTCCTCTTGCAACAGTCCTGAAGGGAAGACCAGACGGAGGGATTGAGTCAACATCAAATTCATCAGAAATGTTCTCCACTCAGAATAGAATAGAATAGAATAGAATAGAATAGAATAGAATAGAATAGAATAGAATAGAAT